AAAGGCTTAATGGTTGTGGCTTTTACTGCTGAATATGTGATTGGTATTAATCCTTTAAGTGCCAAAGATTCAGGGAGCTTTTTTAAATTTTGCTTATAGAAACCTGATTCCTTTTCCTCATGGGTGGTCCTGACGCAGTGTAAAAATCCCGGGAAAATGCAGAGAAATTACAGGTTTTAAGGGCCTAGGGCTGTGGAAAGGGGCCGTGAACAGCTCCATCTGCTGGACATGGGTATAGAGTACACAATTTTTTTTTTAATTTTTTTTTTTTATTTTGTGTGCGTGTGCCGTCAAATCAGATCTGACTGGTACAGGAGGATATTGCGCCTCCTTCTCCGGCAGAGCATCTGGTGGATACGAACCGTGTTCCTCTGGGATTACAGTGCAGCTTCTTGCCACTAGGCCACCAGAGCTCCCCCGAGTACACAATTTTTTAAAAAAATCTTCGCTCAGGTGTGTTAACTGGAAGAGCACACAGTTCAAATCCACCAGCTGCTCCACAGCAAAAGACATAATTTATTTCCATAAAGATTTACAGCCGTAGAAGTCTATATAGCAGTTCTACTCTATACTGTAGCATGAGAATCACCTCAACAGTAGTAAGTAAAATTACTTTACCCTACTACTAAGCTTCACCTGACCTCTAAAAGTTTCAGGATTCAGTGGACTGAGTTGTACTTTGGAGTCGGTCAAAACAGATTATACGGCAAACAATGGAATGGCTCAATGAGCTTCTAAGATGCTTGTCAGTTGGAAATACATTCAAGAATGCAACTACTTTGCCCATTAGAAGCATGTTGGTTTTACATGAAAAAGTGGCTAGCTTAACTTTTGGGGTATTATTTTGCACTCCAACACCTAAAGCAAAACTACTGGATCAATGGGGCCCTTGACTGACAGTTTCTTCTAAACTCCTGGGTCAATTCTGGTTAGCTGCCTTCAAGACAGTCTTAGTGACACTATGCTAAACAGAACAAAACAATACCCAGGTAAGCACTGTCCCTGGGGTCAGTTGTGGATTTAATGGCATCATTTTTAAGTAGGTCATCAGGCCTTTCTTCCTAGGCTGTCTTAGTCTGGAAACTCCACTGAAATCTATTCAGCATCACAGCAAAATCCAAGTGCCCACCGACACCTGGGTACTGGCTACACAATGGCTTAGCTGACAGTGTAACTGGGGCAGCATTTTGTACTGCCAACAACTAAAATCACTCCTCAAAAAACAACAACTCAAAAGAATCTCTAACTCTACTTCTACGTTTCACCTCCTTCTGAACCAGACAATCACTTAATAAAAGCAGAATGGTCCCCTAACGCAGTGATCCTCTGAAAGTGGGGTCTCTTTTTGGCTACCAACTGGGCGATGACCAGAACAAAAAGGTGAGAGGTGGCCAGATAAACATATTTTGATATTCTTCCCTGATCATTCCTGGATGCGAAACCCCAGACAGTGGGATGGAGGAGGAGTCTATGTGATTTCAAGTTAATTCTAGTTTAATGCCCTGGATTGTCTTGTTGGCCTGACAAACCCTTAGAAGACAAAGATAATGAGAACTGAGTTGAGCACCCTGCTTGTAGACAATCCTCACTACAGCGGAGGGGGAAGACACAGTAAGAGATGGGGAGACACAATGAGAGTCTGCCAATTTCCTAAAAATGCTCTGTCCCTGCTCTCCTAGACATAAAGTTTGGGTATTAGAAGGAACTGACTGGAACAATGGTTATGGTATAGCTACTAGAATGGGCACACCGATTGCGTGGCTGTAGAAGAAGACACACAAATTTGGCACCAGGGGAGGGAATGCTTTAGACATTGAGAAACACAAAAAGGAGAAAAATAACTAGGGCTCTAAGTCTTAGGTCCAGCACCACAGCCAAGCCAAAAGAATCACATGGTCAACCTAAGTGATTGACAGCTATAACTGACATTCTGACCTGCAGCTGAGTGTGTCTTCAGGACATGGAAACAGAAAAACTAACACGGTCATGGCTGGTCTGGAACTATATTGATGGACCAGAGACAACAAAGAGACACTCACAACATGGCACTTAATCATGCTTGTGCAAAGACATAAACCTAAACGTGTCTGTGAAAATATATGTTACTGTTAGGTGCCGTCAAATATGAACCACAGTGACTCTATGAACAACCTGTGTGAATGAACTCTGTCCTGTCCCGTACCATCTTCACATTTCCTGACACAGTAGAGCCCACTGTCACAGTCACTGTGTTAATCCACCTGGTAGAGGGTCTTCCTCTCTTTCTCTGACCTTCCATCTTTCCAAGCATGATATCCCTCTTCAAGGAATAGCCTCTCCTAACTTCTTGTTGTTGTTGTTGTT